CAGTTCTGACTCACGTAAGTACGTATATTTAAAGGATTTGCCACTGATGATTCAAACGCGAGTTTTGAGCAGTGTAGAGTAGCGCTTGTTGTTTGTCGGTTCTCTGATCACAAATGCAGACATGGTTTTATGTTTACGCGGCGCGCGATCCAACGCAACACGTAAAAAGAAAAGAAGTATAAGTCATTATAATCCGTAATTATGTCCCCACTGGATGCAACAAATGCCTCATTTGCGTGCATGCTAACCACAGTCTATGATGCTGACAATTAATGCTGACTCACAGACTGTAAGTACATTTTCATATTTAAAGGATTTTCATTGTTATTTCTTTATTCATTAGCATTGCAGTTGCCAGATCCAAAGATGTGCCTGTGTTTGGACCTCCCATACCCAAGGGAGTGATGTTTCCAAAGTCTGCTGTATTCCGGGACTTCCTGCTGGCTAAGGTGATCAATGGCGAAAACGCGGCCCACAAGTCTGAGAAGTTCCGTGCCATGGCGACGCGTACCCGCCAGGAATACCTTAAAGACCTAGTGGAGAACTTCACCAGTGCAACGCCTGTGGATGCCTCGGGTGCAAAATTCAGCTTCATCAACCTAGGCGCCAAAAAGAAGGAGCGCAGCCGGCCAAGGAACAACGCTCATCTGTACAGTACGGGAGCCATCACGTGGTCGGTGGTTGCCCGGGACAGTTGCCAGTCCACTGATATTGGTTGTTTGCTGGCCATCTCCAGAGAGTTTGTGGCGCTCATTGAGGAAGCGTCCCGGGAAGTGGTTTTCAACTGTTACTGCAAGGACGTGATTGGTTGGAGCTCGTCCTCAATGGTGGGCAGGGTGAAGCTCTTTTACGAGCGCGGTGACTGTGTGGTGTTTTCCGTGCAGGATGGATGCCCAGAGGAAGTTCGAGAGGTCGTACAGCGATTAGAGGTATGAGTACCCAATTCAAGATCAAGTTTAATCTAAGCTGAATCTTACACCAAGCTTGCCTTTTACTGTGAATAAGTGAGCAGTGTTGGTATAAAGGATCAAGTTTCTCTTGCAATCAGGGGCCAAGGGTCAATGTATTAGCATTAGAAAGGTAGAAAGACCATGTTAGAATAGATTACCCTACCTTAGTTTACCTTAAGCTTGCTAGAACGTTCACTTTATTCACTCTGGGATAAATACATACATCAACACACTCCTTAATAAAACAATATTAGTTCCACTTCTTGCTTTATTGCCGCCCATTCATGCTCAGTTGGTCCAGACATGCAGACTCACACTTTTTACAGTGCACTGGAGGGTTAAATGGGTGTACTGCTGTTTAAGTTGATGGACCCAGTCAGCATGTGTGGTCCATTCTCTTTGTGAGATTTGACAGCTTGTAAAATACTGTCCTTTGACTCTTAAACATGCTGTTAAATGTGTTTATTGCATTGGGTGGTTTGCTGTCATCATCATAGCATTTGTGCAGCAGACCATCAGCACGTTTTTCTGGAAATAAGCAAAAATTAAAATTCGGTCATCATTTATTCACCCTCATTTTGTTCCAAACCTGTATGACTGATTTTTTATATGCTGAACTCAACATATAAAAATATTGTTTGTATAAACATAAAAAAATATTGTTTGTTTGATTTTGTCTATACAATGGACGATTTTGTCTATAAAAACGAAGTTTTGGGCAAACTTTCCCTTTAATATGACTATGTGTGGTTTATGTCTTTTTTTAAATGCAATTATTGACTTTTTACGTATTTTATTAAAAGTTTGGTGGCAAATATATATATAATATGGTTTTGTGTGGTAAAAGCGAAATTATGTCTGAATTGTTGAGCAACAGATATTTTTTTTTAACCACCTCAGTCTCTTCAAAGTGCTTTTGTTGTTTTTGTGGGTGCTTAGAAAAGGTGCCTTTGGGCTCTTAGTAACTTTGCAGAGTCAGAGTAATATCAGCTTACCCGAGGTTTGCTTAAAACTGTTTATTTTCAGATCAAGTAGTTGCATGCAGAAGGTTTAAGCTGTTATGTCCAAAACATGTTTGTTTTAGGAGTCAGGTGTCAAGATGCATGGAAAATCTTCTTAAGAAAGAAATTTAAAAAATTCTTAAGATAAATTCCAAACAGTTTCTAAGAAGTTCTCACATGTTTTTTTAAGAACTTCTTTATAAAAAAATGACAGGCTTTGGCATTATCTGGTTTGTATTGCGGTTCTTTCTGAATACTCACTGATCAGCTCAGAGGCTGTGTTTCTGAATTATGTTATGATTATAGGCTTACATTAAAATCCCTAATTAACTTTATTTCAATGTTTTTGTTGAGTTGTTACTGAATTTTGAATTCAACAAAAAGTCACATGATGCAATGATGTCACTTTAGAGAACTTGTGCACATCCCTAGTAGTAGCAATATGTATTATATGTAGCTATTGTTATGTTTTAATGCTTAATTACAACAATTTGGAGAATAAAAATATTTCACATAACATCTTTTGGGTTAGGTTATCCTAACTTTAAGAAATTATTTCTTAATGCTTTTCAAGAATTTGAAAAAGAACATTTCTAGGAGTATTTTTGGGAATATAAAATATTCTAAATAAGAAGAAAACAGCAGTTTAGAAGAATGTTTAGTGACTCCGGCCCCATGTTGTCAGTTTGGGTTGTAGGAATGTGCTATTCATGAGACAACCAGTCTGTTGTGTTCTCCCATGTTGGTTTGACATCGGTTAATTTCATCCTCGAGAGACCTGGCTTCAGCCATCATCTGTATCTCTGCGTACCTGCTTACCCATCTGCATGCTTACATGTGCAGGACCTTCTGCCCATTATCACAGCACAGGTTTTATCTTAAGTCGCTGAAGTGACAAAAAGCCCTGTTTCAGATGGTTAAAGTTTGTACGTTTGTCCTGCAGATGGTCACCAGGGGTTGTGAGTCGCTAGAGATGATCCTGCGCAGAAATGCCCTGGGCCAGCTGGGCTTCCATGTCAACTTTGAAGGTGTGGTAGCCGATGTGGAGCCATTCGGGTTTGCCTGGCAGGCAGGACTTCGCCCAGGCTGCCGTTTGGTTGAGATCTGCAAGGTCGCTGTTGGGACTCTAACTCACGAGCAGATGATTGACTATTTGCGGACCTCCACACCTGTTACGGTGGTGGTCATACAGCCACATGAGGATGGCACCCCCAGAAGGTACAGTTTGTTCTCCATCTTACATTGGCAGAGAAGCTAAAATGTGAAAAATGTAATGAAATGTGAAGAAATATTCATGTTCATATTGCTAAATATCTTTGGCATGTTGTAGCCACATTTACAGCCCTCAAAATTGAACCTTTATCCTTTATTAAATGTAACTCATGGACAGATGGACCACACCAGTTTCTCGTGGGTTACAGAGGTCATGTCCTGAAGAGAAGATTAATCCTCTTGAAATAATCTGTGAATGATATTATCATAGTCCGCTCATGGTTTTTTTGTTGTTTTTTTTAAAGCATTTACATGAAAGAAACCACTTACAGCAAACTATCATGAAATAGAAAGTGACCCAGAACCCTGTCGAACTTTGTTGAACACGTGCCTCATGTTCCGTTTGCTCATTTCAGAAGAACCAAGGGCTTTACCAAGAACATCTGAAGGCAGAGATTAAAGTGGCCCTCTAGACTGTCAATAACTGTATTGACATTTATCACCTCCCTGCAAGGCATAAAAACCAGAGATATCAAGCGCTCGGTGCTTTTTGTAAACACAAATTTGTAGAGGATTGCTTGCACTTCGGGTTGGCCTTAACTGCGTTATATACAGTATCTCACAGAAGTGAGTACACCCCTCACATTTTTGTAAATATTTTACTTGGGCAAGTCGTTTTTTAGAGAACTATAGTTAACTGAAGCATTCCCGGACAAGTCAGGGTTGTATTTGGTTACAGATCAGAGCAGTGAGTTTAAAAGTAATGTTCCAACTGGATAGCATTTAACATAAACATTTGTTTTAAACTTGTAACACCCTTTTGAGTGCAAAACAATGGACTAAAACTAATTGTAGCACCTTAGCAACAACATAGCAACACACTAAAGCTTTTTGTAGCACCTTAGCAACTGCATAGCAATGCATTAAAACCAATAAGAGCAACTGCAAAACTCCTATTTCTGTAGTCTTAAAGTCTGCAGTCTTTAGAGATGTCTTGAACTTGAAACAACTAGGCGTATTTTTTTCATTCACAACACTTTGTTTGTAAGACATTTCTCAATTCCAGGAATTTGTGTGTGAGAGTCTAGGAGTGTGGTGTTCTTCATTGAAGTACTTTTTCAAGTACTGTATCTCATTGTAGAGGCTGTGAGAATCTGTCTTGAGAGCCCACGCTGGTTCCAGCTTTCCATTCAAGGAGATCACCAGAGATACTCGTTTCAGAAGTAGTTTGGTGCATGTGGTCGGAACAGAGTGGATTAGATCGGAAACGCATCATTAACCATCAATGAATCCTGCTGGCGTGGGCCGGACTTGTGTTAATTTTCTGTTTGTTCTTTTAGTTTCTCCCTCTCTAATAACACACGCCACAGATAATCACAGCAAAATACAGTACATAATTGATCTAATACCATTTGTCATCTAATTTGTGGATGTGTCTTTTCTCTTGCCAAACAGCTCTGCAATGATTATCATTTAATACATTCTGCCAATTTCACTTACAAGATCTTCCCTTGACACAAAATTTTGTATTTCACTAGCTGACTAGACTGACTAAAAAAAATAATGCAGATTAATACATTGGAATGGATTCATAGAAATAGCCTTGCTCTAAATACAGCTCACAATTATGTACAGTGGGGTCCAAAAGCCTGAGACGACTGGTAAAAATGCTTCTATTTTGCATTTTTCTCATTTAATACACTTTTTTTTAAATTACAAATGATGTTATTAGAATAACATTTTCAGTGGAAATTTGAATTCGAAAAATTAGCATGAAATTCAGAATGTGTTAGTATTTGGTTACATCTGACCATCTGGAGAAAGGAGTCACGTGATTAATTTAATAAATTTGCTTTAAATGAATCCAAATCCTAAAAGTTTTCAGGTTTAACTTGTTTTTGAACTCCATATTTTTGACTGTTGTCTCAAACCTTTGGACCCCTCTGTATGTGTAGATAAATGTCAACAGCCGGGAATTATCCAGTCAGCTCAGAAGCGTGAAGGAAGCAATCCCGCTGTTGGGGGGGGGGGGCTCTGACCTGTAACTCGGCTGTCATAATAATCCTCATTCTTTTGAAAGGAGCAGTCTGCCCCCACAATGCTGATTTCAACCTCTCAGCCATTTAATGGCTAATTAACTTGGAAAAAAAGCGATCTATCCAAAAATCAGGTTAATCTATACTATGGATGTGATTAATCCCTGCAGGCTTTTCTCTAATTAGATATGTTGTTGGGTACATGTTGCACTATTGATATAATGCAAGTTGTTTCTAAGTGGAGATAAACACTGGGTTAGCTCATGTAGGCAACATGAAACAACATTGTGGTTGCTATCACAAAGCACTTACATCCTTCATACAGTATCTGAGAAATCAGCTGATAATGCCAGTAATACTGGATATATGTCATGCTGCATTGATTATCGGAGCAGGAATTTCTGCTTGCTAACCTGTAGAGAAAAGTTCATGTGACTCAACCTAAAAACACAAACCAGTTTATGACTGTTCTCCATGTTCAAAATGAGTCACTAAATAACATACTTGGTCACCTAAGTCATCAACAATAAAATGTGCCGATTTTAACTACCAAGCCCCTTGTAAAAAAGAACTGTGATGGTATTAAATGGAAATACAGTAGTAAATTAACATACAACATGATATTGAATGATTATTAAATGCATGTACTACCGTTCGAAAGTTTGAGGCCAGCAGTTAATACTTTTATTCAGCAAGGATGCATTAAATTGATCAAAAGTAACATTAGAGACATTACAAAAGATTTTTCAAATAAATGCTGTTCTTTTCAACTTTCTATTCATCAAAGAATCCTTAAAAAAATGTATCACGATTTCCACAAAATAATTAGTGTATTAGAATGATTTATTTTAAATTGTAATATTTAACAGTATTAGTGATTTTTACTGTATTTTTTATCAAATGAATACAGCCTTGAGGAGACTTCTTTCAAATGCTTTTGAATGGTATAGTATTTACTGTATAAATATGATGGTGTTACTTTCATACATTTCCAAAAAACATTGTAGCAACTCTAAAAACCCGTTGTAATTTTCCTTTCTGTGTTTTTCAGAGGTGCCTCAGAACTGCATCGTGTCCCCTACATGGAGTACAAGACTCTTGGTCCCGGGCCTGGTTGGCACAGGATGACTCACGTTCCCCAGGGGCTGCCGCTGTCTCGTGTTTCTCCCACTCAGGGTCCAGATCGACCCTCCCCGAGCCAACAGATGTTCCAGTACGCCCAAGCTGCCATTTCGCGTAGCACTTCTTTTGATAAGAAGTACCAGGATGGATCCAGGTCAGATAAATGTGACTATGTCATTCCAAACACATATGCTGCTCTTTCCTACTCATACAGTATATACCTGTAATTTCACTCGTGTATCATATTGTGATCCAACTCTCATGATTATGTAAGGAGATACTAAGGAAGCAATTCTCATGGAGTGCAAAGTGGATTGGTTTGGTTTGTGTAATTGATCCCGTCATATCCGTTGCAGTATGTGGGTCATTCTTACCCAGGATTTAGCTGTTTATTTGTGTATTTGCACATGCATTTGCATGTGCATTCAATGCATTGATTTCTTCAAAAAAGATGTCAATGGTGTCCTTAGGCCTTTTCTGTTCTAGTCTGTGTCTCCTGTCATGGTTCATATTCAGAATAGATAATTCCCAGATTTTCAATAATGCTGATTGATCTGAAAATCAGTTTTACATGGACAGCTAAAGCAAAAATGCCTGAAGTCAGATACAAGAACAAACATTTTTCTGGCTCATATTACTTAATGAAAATTGATTAAATGATGTCATATTATCTCTGTAAATAGTGGACTGTCATCGGAAATGTCCAGGTCACATTTCACTTCAATGCTAAATTAAATTTGGTCTGCTCTTTATTTAATTTTTAATGTTCACTTACTGTATTAAGTACAATTATATTAGGACTATTTTAGTTTTTACATGTAACATTATTTAAATTAGAGTTAAGCACCCCCCCAATTCTCCTTAATGCAGAACAATCTAATTCTGATTACTATAGTAATTTATGAATCCTGTTTGTTTTTTTAAACCAGATTTTATAAATTATTACAATTAAATAAATTCAATTCAATAAAACCTTCATATAAATACTTACAATTCTGCTTCACAAATGTTCCTTTTATATGAAATATAAAATTTAAATAATATATGTATAGAGAGAATATGGCTGATGTTTTTGCTATGATGTGACATTTTTGGCACATTCACCCAAACATATTTGTCCTAAATACATTTGAATGGAGTCCAAATGTTAAGCCTAAGAGAAAATACAGTATTTTCAGTATAATCTCAGTACAAACTATTCTGTATTTGACACTGTCAATGTGTCAGGACAGTTAACAAAAAGCAACACCTGTTTTTTTTATCGGGCTCAGCATCAGGAACTTTAAGAAACAATGATTCATAACGGTGATGTTTGATTATCCAGACACTTCTCTGCTGACTTTTCCACTGGGAAAGCCCAAAAGGGAGCACATAGAGGCTATTAAGGATGATACATGCCACCCTGTGGATTAGAGGAAGGAAAAAAGTTCAGAATGATTATGTTCTAGTCTGGTGTGGCATCGATTCATGCTTTCGTATTTCTCAGGAGACGCCTTTCAGGGTGAGCTAATTGGGAACTTGATTTTCGGGTGCTGTAGAATTGGGATCTCTTCATAATGCGTGTCGTCTTGTGCAATTGAGTGACTGTGTGTTGCATGCTTGTGTCTTCACCTTGTCTGAAACGCACACACCTTTGCGGCCTCTTCACCCAGGCTGTCATCTCGTCCTCTGCTGGGATCCGTGTTGCACATGGTCTGTCATTCCTTCCTGGAGTATGTTTCTCTTATTTCCCCCCTGGAATGCGCAGACGTTCCCCAGCCCTAGAGACACGGGGTCCTGCTATGAATAGAATCTGCTCCACCACTTTTTTTTTTTTTTGACAGTGTTTCCTCCCTCCGGTCCAGAATATGAATGAGTCTTGCTATAGCGCTCTCATTGCTTTTGCCACCAGAGCTTTGATTAATGAGCTTCTACCCTGTGTTTGCTCATTGCAGGGTATTGCAGGACTTCGAGATGGTTCAGAGTCCATCTGGAAATCCCGGACAGCACTACTGCAGTTCTCCCAGTAACCAATCAACCTCCAGTGACCCCGGTCCCTGCGGCACATGGGCCCAGAAAGCCAGTTATGACGGGTAATGAGTTTCTGTTTGAAGCAGCCTTGTAACTCAGAAACCAAAGAGCCCAGCAGGTTTAGAGGTTATAACAAGAGTCTAATCATATGAGATTTGGTGCAAATCTTTGGTACAAACAGAATTAGAGTAGAAGATTAGACTCTTTTCTGTCATGTCCAGAATGAGCTAATATTTCATGACGAGCTATGTGAACATCAGCTGTTCATTCACAGACAGACGCACAACAATAGGAGGTCTTTTCAGAGATCAGAGACTTTGCAAAAACAAATCACAGCCATTTTTCTGAATGTTAAAGCAGGATACTTCTATTGTTACTGATATTGATACTCTTCTGGTATTTAAGTATTTATCTTCCTCATTAATTAAAACACGGAATGAGACAGAATTAATCAAATTTGCTGACCAATAAATAGTCATTGTTGACATGTGAATGTGTTGATATACTTTTCTGGAAATTGATGAATTGCAAAATTAGACTTTTTTTTCATATCTTTTTCATACCTCAAATGATCAAGGAAAATTTTATTTTTACAATATGACCCCTTTAAGACAATGAGCCACGTTTACTCTCCATATGAAATGCATTCATGAGGCTTATACAACATCCTTGGGTAGTAAAATCGAAATAACACTAATGAATAATGCCAGTGGACCATTACACTCTATTTGTCCAATAGATTGCAATCACCTGCCCTTCACGACCAACCAGAAGAAAAAGAGGCAGACGGGCACAGGGATATAGAGCACAAGATGGAGAGGACACGATCTGCCGGTACGGAAGCATTGTTTTTCTCAAGTACCAATGAGGATTAAACTACATTACTTTTAAATGACTTATAGAATTGATTTACCCACTTTAATTGACTGAATTTAACAAGCTGCATTAAATAACTTGAGACAATTATTTTCTGTAAATCATTTGGTTAAGATTAACTAATCAGTTTTAAATGCACAGCACTCCAATCAATGTCATGTAACATCACATCCATGATTTCCAGGATCGCCTTGTGTTCCTGAAGCCAAGTGGCACATCCCATCCACCAAGATCCTGAACCGAGGTCTACAGAGACAGGGGACGAAAGAATCACCTGGTAAATTCCCTCGGGTAAGTGATCAGTCAATTGAACTATAAAACTGTTAGATCCATTCCTCTGAATGGATAGGACTAATACTTTTTTTAATAGTGCTAGGACTTGTATTACTCCTCTTGTCTACGTTTACATCATTCCAGACATCAAATTCGTAGTTTACATATTAACTTTTGGTTATTGGAACGTGAATGTCTTTTAAGATACAGTAAATGTCTTGTACTGTACAGCAACAGGAACATATGCTAAGTGAGTGCATGTGTCGGTGCAAGTGTTTCTGTGTTTATATGTGGCTGATGGGTGCAGTGACCTCATTAGTCAGGAACGTGTAGTTGGCAGCGCTGCAAATGCACCACATTTCTCCGTGTGGTTGGGTAGTTGTGGCAGGGAGGTCATTGGTTTGGAGTAAAGAGGGGTTGGCATCTATGGCAGATGGCTCATAGTGTCACATCCAGTCATGCAATCCCTGTGGGAATTAATGTAAGAAACTGGACGCCAGTTACAGGACACGACACTGTACATTCTCTCGTGTCGTGCGCTAGAGAGAACCAACATCAGGAGCATGTGCATCAGGTTAAGAACAAATCCACCTGATTTATCAAGTGCGAAAAGGTCACCCTACCCTTGCTGCTTGCAGCCTATGTTGATGCTAGCAGCAAGAAGTAAATTTTTGGGTCATGTTTATCTCATATTACTTAATCAAAGCCCTACATTCCTCCATTCTGTGATTCACAGAACTGACGGCGTTTTACAGTAGTGTATTGACCACATTGCCTTTAGCCAGAGGGGACATTTGGAAATAGTGCACCATAGATCTTCCAAAGCAAACCATGCATTAAAGTTTAAAAATCATCCACTATCCATTCATTTGAAAGGGCATAAATTTAGACCATGCAATTTAACAGAATAATCAATTATTAATTTACCATGAGATTGGTTACAGTAGGTGGTAATGGTGCAGTGCTGGTTCTTCTATCTGTTGCTGTTATTGCTCTGCTAAATGCACATCAGCGCTCGGGGGGGGTCTTCCTTCATCCATTTTTGTTGGGCTATAGGTTCACCAAGAAGTAAACATATGTTGCGTTTTGATAAAATGGTTTGCTTGCCTTGCCTAGTTCAGGTCATATAAATAGAAAATTCAGTGAATTGAATAAATATTTCACAATACCCTGATGAAAAATTGTGTAGGATTTACTTTGAAACAATTTTCACTTGCTAGTAAATTTCACAAATAATTACAAAGAAACAACAAGTAAAACATTGAATTAAATGTGAAATTATTAGAAAGTTTGAAATAGTATTTTCTTGTAAAACTTGCTCCAGTAATCTTGGTTTTATTTACGACTTTGAAACATTTTCGAAGTGTATTTTTGATATAATAAATGCAGCCCTGTTGAGCATAGACTTCTTTCAAAAACATTACAAATCTTACCAACCCCAAACTTTTGCACTGTAGTGTATTTCATTTTTTTCTACCATAACACTCGGTCATCTTCTATAATTTTCCAGACCCGTGAGAAGAGCTGCCACAGTCATTGCTCCAGCCACTCCAGTAACAACACCCTCTCCAGCAATGCTTCTAGCGGCAGCGACGAGAAACATTTTGGTTCTGGAGACCCGATGGATCCAGAGTCCCTGGGTCTCACCTACATAAAGGGGGCGTCTACTGACAGCGGCATAGATACAGCACCCTGCATGCCGCCTCCACCTCCTGCCCTGCCCCTGACTGGAGTGGGACCCTCACGGATGGTCGTGAGAGATGGGAGGGTTGAGACGGGACTCCCATGGCCTCTGGAATACCATGAGGATGGTGAGACAGATGAAGGAAGGGCAAAGATGTTCCTGTCTCAAGGATATGTTCCCGCTACACCCACCGGTCATACCACGGATGGCAGCACCGGAGATCTGAGTGAGATCTCCTCTCTTTCTAGGTGAGATGAGAAGGAGAGTGAAAAATTATTATAGATTTTTGGAAAATGTGTGGATCATGCTTGACTACTCATTCAACATTTGCCTAGTTCTTTAATTTTTTGCTTTCATTTTCTGCAGCTGCACACTTTTAGACTGACGTCCATAATTACACAGGCCCTCTTTTTCTATCCTGGCAGTAACATTAAGAGACAAATATTAACAAATATCAGCAAAAATAATGAGGATTATAGTTGCCTGATTCAGTTGCCTGAAGTAAAAACAACGAAAGCTAAGCTCTTATGCTTATTACCATTCTATTCTGGCATATAATGCTTTCAAAGAAGAGCAAACATCATGTCTTGTTCTCGTGGATCAGCTTAGGTCAGTTATACAATGAAAAGGTATTTCTGTATTCAGCTTTGTTGTTACAGGTCTGAACACAGACAGATGCAGATGGAGAGCTTGCTAAGGTCAAAATGATTTGAGTTTGCAGGGCTCAACACAAACAGCCAAACACCATCTCATCAGCTCTGCAGCGTTTTCCACCGCAATCCCTTTTTAAAAATGTTTTTTCTTTTTTTTTTAACCTTTGACCTTTTTAAGTTGGACTCCTGTTCTATGAAATTGGTGGTTTAACAACATAGCAGAAATATCTTGTTGTGCACAGTGTTGTTATTGTTAACTAAAACCGTTCAAAATCGTTTTCAGCAATTGAAATAATGCTAAAATAAAATAGAAATATTAGATGATAAACTTGGCAACTAACTGAAATAAGTTAAAAAAAATGAATGTATAAAAATGAAAAAAAAAAAAACGCATAACAAAATTACTAAAACTTAAATTTAAAATGAATATATGAAAAGAAAACCTAGTTACAAATATGAATAATTACTATAATAGTTTATAAATAATACTAAAATAACAGAGGCAGAGTGGAAGCAGCTGGACCGTTTATTGCTGTTTCGGCAGTCATTTTTACTTTTTTCCATGTTCTTGCCTTGACAAGAATGCTCTTAAAACCTGATAATTAATGGTTCTTACTAAGGCAGGCATCACTATTACATGATAAATTAGTTATTTAATAATTTTGGTCCCCTTTTTCCCCCCAGTGGTTCTCGTCATTCTGGAAGCCCCTCTGAACGCTGTTCGAAGAACTCCAACTCCATTGAGCCCTCAAAAATCTACATTATCTCTCCTACGGACACGACTCCAATTGGAGGGCGGGAAAAGCATTCACTTAGCTGTCAGTCACATGGCGAGAAGTATTTGACTGGCTGGAAGAAAGGAGAAAATGACCACTTACTGGAGGATCAAGGGCAAGCTAGAGACTTCAGGTAAGTAGCACTTAATGTTTTATGTATCTTATGTAACGTTGGAGTTAGAGAAGAGTTCATAGTGAGATTAAATCATGTTGCTTTTTTTGTTTAACAAATGCATTGACCAGTACCTCTGCATAGCAGTGACATTCGGAAAACCTTTTAGGTCAGTTACACATCTCTTGCTGGCAGCATCTCAGAGATGATCGATGTCAACAGACATATTATGTAACCTCCATTGAACAGAATCCAGACAGAATCTACTTGACACTTGCCACTTCACATTATCAGACTGAAGGCCTGATAAATGTTTCTCTGACGATTAAAGCAGAGACTTGATTTGATTGACAAGCTCACCAGGGGATGCTGACGTTTTCCTGACGCAAACAATATTTGATGGAAATTCATATTTTTCTTGTGTCAGGTTTAAAAACTAAATGGACACTGAATCGATTCAAAGCTCTGTGTAATAATTTTTCCCCTCTTTGTTGCTGCCTCAGTCGGTCAGAGGCTTTGTTGTCTTTACTCCTAAAGACACTGTTGAGGAAATCAAGGTAGTTGAATCATTACCTGGCCCTGAATTGTTCACTGTGTTGTTCCTTCCCTCTTGTCCTGTAAAAATGGCACTCTATATACCTTTAAAGGGACTGTTCACACAAAAATAAACATTCTGTTATCTTTAACACACCCTCGTGTTATTCCAAACCTATATGACTTTTTTTCTTCTGTAAAACACAAAAGGAGAGATTTTAAATAATGTTCAGTTACAATGAATTGGACTTGAGCTTTCAAGCTTCAAAAAATAATGTATAAGCAATATAAAAGTATCCTAAGACATGTTTGGTGAACTACATCAAGTGATTAATTGAAAAGATCGGACTTTAAAAGAAAGATTTATTCATAAATCAGACATTGTTACTCTGCTGAGGAGAGTCAGAATATTAAAATATTGGATTTTGGTATGTTCCTCACATAAAGCTTTTGTATGGCATCAAAAGACAAGAAATGGTGTGAACGTTTATGATTTTTTTTTCCATAATTTTGAAACTTGACAGTTCTAGTCCTCATTCACTTTTGTTATATTAAAAAGGGCCCGACCAGGATATGGTTTAAAAATTCACTAAGAATTCATCATGTGGGTTTGAAACAACAGGAGCGTGAGTAAACTATGACAAATTTTCATTTTTGGGTGAACTATTCCTTTCAGATCACATGAGTCAATGATCTGTTTTGATTTGTTCCCTGATTAGTCATGTCATGACTGTGTGAAGGCTATTCCTTACTCAATGGCCCATAATCCTCGGTTTCATCACTAATGTAACTGCATCCTTGTAGTCCTTGGAATGTTTTGTCTGTAGCACCTTTACAAAGAACACTTACAGAGGAGGCACAGTTCAATTTAGATTTATACTACAGCAAAACCTGCTGCTAATGTCTCTTTTTTTGTCTAATCTGTTTCATTTTCTTTTGTGCTTCCTCTCCTCCTTTGCCTCCATGTCTCTCTCTCAGGGGGCTCTATTTGAGAGACCCATCCCTGGTGGTTAACAGTGCTGGTGAGAAGCTCCAGACGCTCTCTAAGGAGGCCTTCCTCAGGATGCTTCTACCCAACAGTCCCCCGGGGCAGGCAAGTCGAGGCAAGGTGAGTGTAGAGCTAAGCCCTGGAGGTTGAGTAATGAAGTGAGCAAGTGCTGCTGTAGTTAGGACATGTTAAAGCAATGCTGAAAAACAAAGGAATTATACATTTTAAACATGTTTTGCACTAAACAAATTATTCACTGGGGTGTTACAATGACAAGCAAATCAACTAACCAGTCAGCAGCCTGGGTAACAGCCGTTTGGTTGACTAATGGAAGTGTCTAAAGGAAACGAGGTCACAACAATCAGTCATTTTCCTCACCTGATCTGCTCACAGCAGTGTGGATTATAAAGCTGCATATGCCCACACGCAATAATATATTCCAGTGACATTAGATGAAATTAGATTATAATAAGTTATATTATTGTTTTAGATTATTATTATTGTTGTTGTTGTTGACGCCCGTAGACCCCCCGTGAGGGCCGTGTCCATCGCGCCTGCATTATTGATGAGAGCGCCATGACTCTAATAGTTCTGATTCACAGACCCACAGTCACTCACTCCGACTGTTGATTGGTCCCCAGCTGAGTCTCATGTTCCCTTAGCTCACCCTCCTCCTGCTCTCCACCCCCCACCTCTCTCCCACAATTCAATTAAGTGATATGTGCTTTATTGCCACGGCTGTTTTATTAACAACATTGCAGAGCCTTTCACATAATCATATTCTGATGAATAATATCTTTGCTTCCCCCTCTCCCACTCTGTCTCTCTGCTTTCTCTTTGTCTTCCTGTTACCCGTCTTCTTCTATTTCTGTCCCATCCATCTCTTTCCTTCTCCTCTATCTCTGCTTTTTGTGTTACTTCAGATACCACTTGTCGGTCAGTCTCCACGCCGCTCCCTGTACCGGACACTCTCAGACGAGAGCTTGTGCAGCAGCCACCGGAGGGCGCTGTCCTTAGCTAGCTCTCGTAGCTCCATGCTGGACCAGGCTGTGCCCAACGACATCCTGTTCAGTAGCACCCTGCCCTACCACAGCACCCTACCACCTCGCATGGGTCTTAACCACGCTGCCCGTCAGCTCAAAAGTGAGTGCTCGCAGATGTCGTTACCATATCAATGACGCCAACATTGTTTTAAGGATCACATGTTACGTTTATATATAGTCTGTCCTCAATATGCTGTCCACTTTATCCCAGAATGCATCAGAGTACCAGCTGTACATATAATGTAAACGCTTGGATTGCCAGCACTAAGACATGCTTGATGATATTGGAATAAATGAGCTTTTTTTTGGGCCTATAACAGATTTTTCCATCTCCTTGGTAAGCTCACCACATTCCTTCCTGGTACTGTAATTTTATCCGCTGCAGACTTTAATGTTGTACTTAGTAATGAAGCAAGAAATTATACTATAAATCTACTGCTAATGCTCAAGAGACTTTGTGCTAATCGTACTATAATATGTCTACTGAAATATTCTAGTAGGATGAAGAGTGTGCTGTAATAGGAAAATCATTATAATAGCATGATTTTTGTGTAAGTATGCTGGACTGGTCACTGAAAGCTGGAAGTGTTCATGCGTTAAACATCTGGAACGTGACGCAATTGAACAGAAGGCACGTTCATGGGATGTTTAACTTCTATGTACACAATTGCTAAGCTATGTTTCCATCTAAGCGAAAAAATTGAATATTGCAAAGATGATATGGGATTAAAGCAATGTTTCTATCTCGTGTTTAAGAGGAATCGTGATTTTTAGAGAAAATTGATGAACATCATGTTTGCTAGCAAGCGGCAAAAAATGTCTTACGTTAGTGTTTTAGACAATCCTTGAGACAGTTGCTCTTTTTTTTTTTTTTGACGTCTTAAAAAAAAAAATCTGTATTCCCAAAATGGGGGGCTATCTTCTGTTAATTAAATTGAATTTTGTTTCTATGTGTATTTTGGAAATGAAATATTTTTAAAACAAGAAATACAATTTCCAAGCATTAAAAACTTTATATATATATATATATATATATATATTCCAAGACAATTCACTGATATTACTATGAATGGGAGAAGGTGAAA